AGATGGGCCCTGTCGATCTTATGAGATCGATGACGATGATAATAACCTCCTTTTTTCAAGGGAGATCCGAAACTTCCCAATGCCGACGAACTTCATGCCCCCTAAGATCCCCGAGTATGAAGGAAAGGGGGACCCAGAGAAGCACCTCACCAAATACATGATACAGATGAGTCTCAGGGGAGCCTCACCTGCTTTGAAATGCAGAGCCTTCCACTTAACCCTGGGCGGAGCTATTGAAATGTGGTATAGCAGACTTCCTCCCCTGAGCATTAGAAGTTGGCCAGATTTGAAGAAGGCATTCTTAAACCAATACCTCTTACGCAGGGAAGGAGAGGCCCCAGTTCAATGCCTGCAAGATATGAGGCAGGCCCCTGGAGAGACGCTGAAAAGCTATCTCGCCAGATTTACAGACGAAATCACATACTGCGAACAGGTTACTGACAGGGAAGCCCTTTCAACTCTGAAAGGCAGCCTCAACATGAACACTTTATTCTGGAGGAATGTGTGCAGCAAGAATCTTACCACCTATAACGAACTGGTGGAAATGATGAGGGTGGAAATCGTCAGTGAGGAAATGATTGATCATCGAAATCGTGACGTGCAGGGACTCCCTCCGCCTCAGAGGCAGGTAGGTCAAGGACCCGCAGCGCACCTCGTGTCTCAGTAGTGGACTCAAGCAGGTCATACAATAGCTCCCACCTCTGAACAAGCACTGGCTTTCGCCACATTGAATGCAGTGCCGATATTGGCATACGAGAATACTCCTGACGAAGCAGAACCATCCGGAAGAGCTGATAGTAAAAAGAAGAAGAAGAAACGATCAAACAGGCCCCTAGAAGGAGCAAGGTTTTGCACTTTCCACCAACTCTATGGGCATGACACTAGTAAGTGTCGAGATGCTAATCGATGCCCTGATCGAAGCAACCTACATCCTTCCAGCAGGAGCGAATATCCTCGCAGATCCACCTCCCCGAACAGGGAAGAGAGAGGGCATAAAGAGCAATCACCTCGAAGAAGAGAATCAAGGGACCGAGGTCAGTCTAGACAGAGAGATCAGGCCCCATTCTCTGGAAGCTAGGTCATCAGGGAGATCGACACAATCATTGGGGGACCTCACATAGGTGGCAACACCAGGAACGCCCAAAGGAATTACACAAAGGAAGCAAATGACCCGCCAATAATTACCTACATTGTCAACGAGTCACAAGTGGCCAATAAGATGGCAACAATCACCTTCTCCCAAGAAGATGCAAATGGAATTCACCACCCCCAACGTGACACATTGGTTGTAAGAGTCGTAGTGGCTAGAAACGAACTCAAACGCATGCTCGTCGACAATGGAAGTTCACCTTCGACAAAATGCAAATTGAACATGGGTTGATCCCTATGACCGACCCACTATTCGGATTTACTGGAGACAGTATCGTCCCACAAGGATGGATCACTCTTCCCATCGAGATGGGTTCAGCACCCCTAATGGCCCAACACTTCATGGAATTCTTAGTGGTAGACCACAGATTGGCTTATCATGAAGTATGGGGCAGACCCGCTTTGAAAGATCTTTGGGTCGTCACATCCATCCACTATTTGTGTGTGAAATTTCCAACTGAACATGGGATTGCTACGGTTCGAGGCGACCAGTTGAGCTCCAGGGCATGTTACTTGAACTCTCTGAGAAAGTCGGAGCCCCGAACTGTTAACGTAATCATAACTGAAGTGGCCAATGAAGCCAGTATGGACGTGGAAATGCTCGAAACCCCTCAACAAGGGTATACCTCCGAACAGGAGGAAGACGTCAACATGGAAAAGGCCCCTGAACAAGGACACCCTCTTAATGAGTTAGATCCCCAGATAATTGACTCTTAACCAAATGCAACCCCGATGGAAGAGCTAGAAACTTTCTCCGCCAACCCAGAAGACCCTGGTCAGGTCTTGCGAATAGAGAAGGCACTGCCCCCTGAAGCAAAAGAGGAGATGATAAACTTTCTAAAAAGGAACTTGGATATCTTCGCCTGGAAGCATGAATACATGGTGGGAATAGATCAAAGGATCAGTTGCCACCATCTTAACATCAACTCCTCCTGTGCCCCTCATCGGCAGAAAAGACGTGCCCTCAATCCAGAAAGGTACGAGGCTCTCAAAGACGAAGTAGGCAAGCTTAGCCGCAGTGGTTTCATAAGGGAAGCCATCTATTCGAAGTGGATATCCAACCCGGTCCTGGTGAAAAAGCCCAGCGGGAAGTGGAGGGTGTATGTAGACTTCACTAACTTGAATAAGGCGTGCCCTAAAGACAACTTCCCACTTCCAAGAATTGACCAACTTGTGGATTCCACTGTCGGACGTGGACTGTTGAGCTTCATGGATGCATATTCGGGGTACAATCAGATACCCATGTTTCGACCTGACGAGGAAACTACGTCATTCATCACAGACAGAGGACTCTACTTCTACAAAGTCATGCCCTTCGGATTGAAAAATGCCGAAACCACATATCAGAGACTGGTCAACATGATATTTGCGAACTCATTGGCAAAACCATGGACGTCTACGTGGACGACATGCTAGTCAAAAGCCTCCAGGCAAGCAAACACGTAAGTCACCTTGATCAAACCTTTCAGATACTTAGAAAATATAGGATGAAGTTGAATCCCCTCAAGTGCAACTTCGGGTCAGTTTTTAGGGTATATAGTTAACCAAAGAGGAATTGAAACCAATCCAGTAAAGATAATGGCTTTGCTGGAAATGAGGTCACCTCAAAAATCGAAGGAGGTCCAAAACCTCAATGATCGAATAGGCGCACTCAATCACTTCATCTCCAGGGCCACTAATAAGAACTTACCCTTCTTCAAGGTGTCTAAGCAAGGAAAGAAGTTTCAATGGACTTCTGAGTGCGAAGAAGCCTTCCAGGCGCTGAAAAAAAGCACCTCGGAGAGGCACCCCCTTTTGTCAAAACCTCAACTAGAGGAGTCTCTGCTGCTGTATTTGGCAGTATCGGACGTGGCGATCAACGGTTGCCAGTGTACTACATCAGCAAAGCACTCCTCCCAGCTGAAACACGGTACCCAGACATAGAGAAATTAGCACTCGCCTTCATCACAGCCTCAAGAAAACTAAGGCTATACTTCCAGGCCCACTCTATCGAAGTTCTCACCAACTTTCCATTGAAGCAGGTGCTGCAGAGAACAGATGCATCAGGACGCTTGCTAAAATGGGCAATCGAGCTCAGCGAGTTCGACATATTGTTTTGACCTCGACATGCCATCAAGGCCAGGGCTTTGTAGATTTTGTGGTTGAGTTTGCCAAAACCCCGAAAATGGAGGCAATAATGGAACCAGCCGAGCCCCCAACCTAGAAATTGTTCGTAGATGGATCCTCAGGAGAGGCAGGCTTCGGGGCAGGAATAGTCTTGGAAAGCCCAGAGGGTCACAAGCTAAATTGCGCAGTAAGGTTCGGCTTCAATGTCTCGAACAACGCTACCAAATACGAAGCCCTTCTAGTGGGCCTTAGACTGGTAAGAGAAATGCAGGTCAGAAGGCTCGTAGCCAGCAGCGATTCTCAGCTGAAAAAGGATGCTTGCCAGTTTGTCCAGAAATATGGGCTTTTGGAATATTCAAAGGCAGCCTTCTCAGAACCTCTCCGTAGTAACCAGCCCCTGGCCATTCGCTAAGTGGGGCATCGACTTCATTAGTCCACTCCCTAAAGGAAGAGGAAGCGCGACTTTCGCCATTGTTGCCATTGACTATTTCACCAAGTGGGTCGAGGCTGAACCTCTTGCGAAGATCACCGAGGCAAATATTACAAAATTCGTCTGGAAGAATATCATTTGCAGGTTCGGTATTCCCCACTCCTTAGTGTCCGATAATGGGAGATAGTTCGACAACAGGAAAATGCAAGAATTGTGTGACGAATTGGAAATAAAAAAAGACTTCTCAATGCCCCATCATCCGCAAGCAAATGGACAAGTTGAGCCAGTAAACAAAACTATCAAGCAGACCCTGTAAAGAAAGTTTGACACCTCAAAGGGGGCTTGGGTCAATGAACTTTCCCACGTCTTCTGAGCCATCTGAACTACAAGCCAAACTGCAACAGGGGAAACACCATTCTCAATGACCTAAAGGGCCGAGGCCATGAGCCCGGTCGAGGTCGGTGTCCCATCGCACCGTCAAATACACTTAACGACGAGGCCCGAGTGAACGAACTCCACCTCCTTGAAGAAAGGAGGGATACCTCCCCGGTGAATTTGACGAAGTATCATAGAAAGATGACCCGTCATTATAACTTCAAGGTCAGAAATCGAAATCTTCGCCTAGGAGACCTCATCCTCAGAAAGGTCTTTCAATCATCAAAGCCAACCGGGTCAGGAGTATTTGGATCGAACTGGGAGGGTCCTTATCGCATCCGCAGGGAATCCCAACCTGACACTTTTGAAATTGAAGACATGGCAGGGAAAGCACTACCTCATCAATGAAACATCGAACACTTGAGAAAATACTATCAGTGATGAGTTTTTGTTCCGATCCGATCTCAATGTTGTCTAATAAGTGTGCGTCCCGATCCGATCTCATTTGTAATCTTCCTATCTTACTGAGCACTGAAAATGCCTTGGTAATGGATAATGTAACCTTTTTAAGTATTGATACTTCAGTTCTTTGTCACATTGGTTGTCAAATTGTTACCTCAGTCCCTCAGCATTATTACTTAAGTGATCCAATCTTCTGATTATTGTTAAGAGACGCTTGATGATTACTTAAGTGGTCTAATCTTCTGATCGTGGTTAAGAGGCACTTAGTCTTAAAAGTTTGTCATTCATATATGCGTAAACAGATCAATACGATAAGAAAGTAGAAGCAATAACACTTGGTAAAAAAAATTTCATTTCATTCACTTCAAATTTACAAGAGGCCAAAGCCATTACAAAATAAGCCCTACTCTACAGGAGGCTCCTCCCCGCCAGCCTCGGGAGCTACTGGAGTGTGCTCTGCAAGCCTATTATGCCGGCCTCAAATGGGTCCCCCAAACTCTGCCTCCAAAGAGGAGATGTCCAAAGTAGGGTGGACCTCTTTCAGCCGACCCAATATGCCTTGGGCACTCCAGGAGGCCCAAAAATTTGCAAAGTCATCGTACATGGGATGTACCTCAAAGTGGTCAATGAAATTTTGAACAGTCACTTCCCCTGCCGACTTCAGTTCCTCATTCAAAGAGGCAATTTCCTCAGACTGGGCCTCCGTCCTCTGCCTCAACTCAGCTTTCTCTTTATTGGAGGCCTCCAGAGCTTCCATGACGAGCTGATGGTGCTCGTTGGCGTGATCCATTCTTCGAGTCATGGCAGCCACCTGGCGCTCCACTTCATAGAGCTCCTTCTTCAGCCGCTCTATGTCTCCTACAGCAATCGCCAGCTGGGCCTCAGCCTCCGTCCTCTTTTTCTCTTCCTCCGCAGCCTTGGCCCGGGCCTCCCTCACCTTGTCCCCATATTGCATCGCCTCCTTGAGGCACTTAGCGAGGTCCTCCCTCTTGGAGTTGAGGTCCTTCACCAAGCCCTCGAGCTGGATGCTGGTGCTCAGAGCCCGGGCTACACGGGCACTATTGGCCGCCGCCAAGTCCTCGACTGTGTAACAAGAGGTGTGGTCCCTCCATTCTTCAGTCCAATACTTATTGTGGACCACCGCCACTACAGTCGTTTCTGGGGGAAGAGCCTCCAGTACTTCTCTAACCGACTCCTCGGAGTTCGTGCCCAAGAAGTCCACCTCCTTTGAGGGACGGGCCATTTTCTTCTTAGGCTGCCTCGGCACCTGGGCGAGATGGACAGTAGCAACTGGCGCCTTGGCCGAGGCAGGGGGAGCTTCTGATGGCGCGGGCGTTCTCTTCGAAATGGCCACCCCGGTAGGAATTGTGGTTTACCTCAGAACAGGGATGGCCTTGCCACCGTTGGTCACTTCGAAGGGACAGCAGGTTTTTTTTCCTTCTGAAGCAGATTCGCCTCTGGATCCTCAGGCACCTCCTCCTTCGTCGAAGGCGGGAACCTTTTGCTGGCATCCACTAAGTCCTCCATTTGCTTCTTGTAGGAGGAGGAGGAGGTCTTCAAGGCCCTCATCTCGGCCATCATCTTTTGCATTGTTTTGAAGTCGGGGCGGAGAGGCATCTTCTTATCGAAGTTATCTGTAAAAAACAAGTAAATTAGTTCAAGTCTAAACGATTCGGAAGTATTGATGGGTATTTGCTTCGTGCTATTACCTTGTGAGGCCATCAGGCCGTGCGTCACAAAATGGAGGTTCTTTCTGATCAGCCGATGAAACGACTCCTCTTCGGAGGCAGCTGATAGATAACGCAGATGATCTCAAAATCGTCGGAGGACAACTCGCACCGAGGAAGAGTGCCTTCAAAAAATGAATACGAATGTTAGTTATAATCCGAACCAAAAAGAAATAAAAGAGTAATATAGCTACAATACTCACTAAGTGACGAGTACTTCGTGGGGACCATAAGAGGTGTTAAGGGGTCCCCCTCCATCGTGTCCCATCTCCCGGCAGCCCAGCACTATGAGCTCTTTCACTCCTTAATGGAGCTCGGCAAATCGAGCACGAATGGAGTGTGGGAATCCCAAGAGGTCAGCTAATACCAGCCCCTGGTCTTATCCCCCCGACTGTTACTTCTGGAATATAGAGGGTCTGAAAAACAGAGAAGGGCATCTCCACTCCTAGTGACGCCTCTTTCCATAACATCCAGGAGCCCACCATCTGGCTCCAGGAGTTCGGATTCAGTTAGGTCGGTGCTAAGCTGTAAGACCTAAGCACCATCCGAAAAAATGGGTGAATTGGAAGCCTAAGGCCAACCCTAAGGATCGCCTCGCTTTTCTCCACACACCCTAGCCTAGGGTAGCAAGCCCTCTCATCAGGCTGGGGTAAGATCAGGTCTATACTATCCGGTATCCTATATTCAGTTCTAAGTCTTTTTAGGTTAGCCTCCTTTAACTTGGAGGGGTAATTCGACTCCCCCCAATGCACAGAGGTGTCTACTGGGCTATCTGGCCTCTTCCAAATGTTCTCCCCCCTAAGTATTGCCTCGGCTACTTCGGAGGAGGTCGCCACAATGGGCTCGTCCATCCGTACTAACTCCAGCCCCCTCCCCAAACTAGCACCACCCTCGGAAGCCATTTTCAGAAAGGAAATATCTCAAAATAGTTACTAAAACTTACGAGTTTGAGTGTTCCCCAGCCAGAAATGGTCAAAAAGTGGTGTGTGGTCGTCGAAAAATTAAAGTTCTCGTCGGAAATGCTTGAAGAACACCGAAAATCGCAAAGAGGTTTGAAAGCAATGGAATTTTCTATTTTAGCAAGAGTAAAAAACTCCAAAAATGCTCAAGTCTGCTTTTTATAGAGCGCTCCAACTAATCTCCACCGTTAAATTCAAATGCAACCAATATAGGTCGTCCGTCGCACCATCAATCTAGGCCGTTGAAATGAAACGCCATATTTGATCTACGCTTAAGATTTTGCTGCCTCGGTCACCACTAGCCGTCAACAATAAGTAGCCACAGCAGCCTTTTAGGGGAATGGGCACTGCATCCAACTGTTACCTTGGAAATACACAGCAGCTGTCAAATCATTTAACGTCAGACACGCCCACCTCGGATCAAGCTCCTCACTTGACTTTACAAAGCTTAGGTGCACCTGACACGGAGTCCCCTGTGGGTCATCGCCTCGGTCGCTGCGCTCCCTCCTAAGCTTTACAAGATTTTAACCATCTCCCAATGCATCGTCCCCTGTGGGTCAATGCACTGGTGGTAGATGAGCTCCTCACTCAACTTTACAAAACTTAGGCACACCTGACGTGGAGTCGCCTGTGGGTCGTCGCCTCGGTCATTGCGTTCTCTCCTAAGCTTTACAAGGTTTTAGCCATCTCCCAACGCATCGTCCCCTGTGGGTCAGCGCACCGGTGGCAGATGAGCTCCTTACTCAACTTTACAAAGTTTAGATGCACCTGACGCTGTGTCCCCTGTAAGTCTTCGCCTCAGTCGCTGCGTTGACCATCTCCCCACACATCGTCCAAATAGTCAGCACCTCGACCTCACGTAAATTTTTTCCCTCACACAGTGGCGAAGATTTAGCGCATTTGCCTATGATCAACGCTTCGATCAGCATAGAAAATCGACCCTCAAGTTCTCACAAGTCACGGTCTCCACGTGGAGGGTCCAATTTCCGAGGTCAACAGCAGCATCAACATTGTGAGCGGCAATGGCTCTCCTCCATGTTAGGGTTTTGTTACTTTGTGCACGACTATCCTTAGCAAGCAAAGATGCAAATATATTTTTTCTCCGTCGTATACAGTGGCACAGTTATGTTCTTTTTTTATCTGAGTTTGATTTCTTCAAAATAGATGATATAGAGCTGTGGCAAATGTCAGAGGGAAGTTTTGGAGACAGAGGTTGAGGTGGAGGTAGTGGCAATAGGAGACTTGATAATTTTGTTGGTGTGGTGGTGGCTGTGGTGCTGTAATGTTGGAAGAGATGGTGATTTAGCAAGAGTGGTGGTGCGGTCATTGACTGGAGGTGGAGGTGGTGGTTTGTTTGTTGGAGCGGGATGCAACGACGATATATGTGGTGGTGGAGTTGCTGGTGATGTGGATTTGGCGACGATTTTTGTATAGTGGTGTAGGTGAATGTGTTGACAGTGGTCGTGGCGGTTGGTGATGGAGATGGCGATGGCGGTGGTATTGTTGCATTGACGACGATCGCAAGGTGAGAGTGGTCGCAAATGGCAGTGGCAGAAGTGGTAGTGTTATGGCGTGGTGTGTGACACACTATTTGGTGTATGTGACCAAGTATTAAATTGTGACCTTAAAATTTGAAAACTTATAACTAAAATATAATTTGTGACAAACAAATTTGAAGATTTGTGATCGATAGATAAATTGTAACCTATAAAAATTTTGATTTGTGACCTAAAAATAAACTATGACCTATAAAAAATTTTATTTGTAACTTCGAAATAATCTGTGACTAATTTATTTGATAATATATGACCATAAATAAATTGTGACATATAATTATGTATTTGTGATCATTAATAGTATAACTATGAGTTTATTATATTTATTTAATAAATATTTTTAATTAATTATACATGTACTTGAATTTTGAATTTTTAAACTATACACCTGACTTTTGAATTGGTGTAAACTATACACACGAGTTTTGATTTTTTCCCCCTTTTTTCTATTTTTCTTGCTTTTACTCATTTATTGATGAAATTTACGTTGATTATTAATTAGTGCAATATTTTGATTAAGCAAAATTTTATCTTTGATATAAAATAATGATGAAAAGGAGGTAGAATTGATCGAAAATTGAAATCCTATTTTCACCCATCACTACTATTTCTTTGCAATATTGGTCTTCAATATTTGCTGTTTTTTTACTTATGACCTCAATTTTATTTTATTTTTATTGAATTTTTATCTTTAACCTTCAATTAGTTATCACATCTTATTATCGATAATGATTTTGTGACTAAATATTCTGCTAACTTGCGTTGAGATAAGGCGTGTATTTTTGTCAAATTTTATATTTAGAGTGTGTTTGGTGCACGTATTACACTAAATAAAAATTAATTTAATTTAGTTTGTTGTTTAGTGCAAATATTACCAGAACTAAATTAAACCAAAGACAGTAAATATATTCTCTAACCTTTCCCTTTCGTGTCCTCGTGTTGCAAATGACTAGCGAAGCACTATTTGTGTGTGGTTGTTTTTTTTTTTTTTTTTTTTCATTTTGATTAATAAATTTATTTATTTTAAGTAAAAGTAATTTTTTAGGCAATATGGTAAATGTTACCTTTAAAATAGTAGCATTTCACAAAAATGTAAGTTGGTACTTATAAGTAAATAAAGAAATAAATAACTCTACTCAGTACTCATAAGAAATAAGTAAGTTTAAATAAATAACTTTTCTATTAAATTTAATATGTTACATATTTTGAGATAAAATTTATGAGTTACTTTTGAAAAAAGTATTCTTTCGTGCTCAAAAGAAAGTCTTCCAACATATTTGCATACAATATAAATAAAACAATAAACAAGTAAATCCACTTAAGTAAACAAGGAAACCTAAAAAATACTTTTTACAATTTACAATTCAAGTACTAATAACAGTCAGTCTAAAAATAATCATCTTCAATAGTATTAACATTTAGTTTTTTATAATTTATAACAATTCTTATTCTCTCTCTTTAAAGTAAGAATCGTGAAAGATGCTAATCTAGGCCAATTATTAGAAAGTCTTACTATTTTTAAATCTAATAATTCTTTAATATTTAAATTAAAATCTTCCATATTTTGATTCGTATGTTTGATTTCTGCTTTTAAGATCCTTATATTTTCATCTATTATTTCTAACTTAGCTTCTATCTTATTTTTATCACAATATTTTATAGAGTCTTCTCTTAATATATGAATTTGTTTTAATAATTTTAAAATTCTATCTATACCATTTGAAGATTGTTAGAGAAAGATAAATGTCGATTTCATATCAATAGAGATGAGTTTTCTCTTTAGCATCCATGTCTATTCTTTTTTTTTTTTTTTTTTCCCAACACCTCTTGCACAAGGGACATGGTATTCATAATAAGAGGGTGTTTGTCAGAAATTAAAATTAAATTTTTTTAATAAATTGTGATAGAAAATTTTGAAATGTATAATTAAAAAATTATTGCACTCGTAAAAAATGTGATTAATATTGATAATTTGATTTTAATTTAAATTAAAATTAGATTTTAATCCAAACACTAAAATAATTATAAGTAAAATAATCAGAAAGATAGAGTCAAAAACAATCGGAGCCGGTCACAAGAACCGTGTTAAAATACTTTAAAATCGCATTTGTCTTTTTATTTCCAATTTGACTCTATATATAAATTGCTTCATGGTACCGACCCTCACATGGCGCCGGGCCCCATGTAATTTTTTAATATATTATTATTAATTTATTTTTTAACCTGAACTACAGCATCACCTGTATGGACCCTGTGAACCAATTGTTCCAATTTTCCATTTCCTTCTCCAACCTCCGAAACACAAGCATCCATGGAGTCTCTCAATTTCTTCAAGGGCTATGGCAAAGTAAAACCTTCAGAAGACCCAAATTCTTTGCCTAATCAACAAAAAACCATACCCCAAAAGCCTTGCAAAATCATCGCCATCACTTTAACCGTTTTATTAACCCTAATAATCGGCGCCATCGTCGGTGCCGTCATCCATGAGTCAGTCACCGAGCCACCCGAGTCCGAAGAACTCGCCTCCAACTCCGCCGAGTCACTCAAAACTGTCTGCGCCGTGACTCGTTACCCCGACTCTTGTTTCTCCTCCATTTCTTCCCTAAACAAGCCACTCACTGCGAATCCTTTGAACTTCTTCAACCTTTCTCTTCAAGCCACGGTGCAAGAACTCTCAAACCTAACTTCTCTGCCTAAAGAGTTGATCTCGAAGTCAAACGACAAGCCGGCTGAGTCGGCGTTGAAGGATTGCGTCGGTTTGTTCGACGACGCGGTGAGTCAACTCAATAGATCGTTCGAGTTGATGAAGGTGGGTCCGGGGGAGAAGGTGTTGACAGATATGAAGATCAGTGACATACAGACGTGGATTAGTGCCGCCATGACTGATCAGGATACTTGTCTGGAAGGGATCGGAGAGATGGGATCAACGGTTCCAAATGAATTTAAGGTGAAGGTGCAAACATCCCAGGAGTCCATGAGCAACAGCTTAGCAATTCTCAATAATATACAAAGTCTATTCGAAAAGTTTGGCCTCACGATGCCTTGATTCCACGTTTGAGTTGACTCTTTGCCATACTTTTTCTTTTTTAATTTTTTTTCTTGCATTTGTACAATGAGTGTATCTGTGTAGGGTTTCAAACGTTATATGTTTGGGCAAAATTATAAGTTCCTTTCAAATATTGATTTTTGTTATATGTTCACAATTGTTATTCACTCGCTAATAACATATTTTGAGGAATAATATTATTCTTATTATTTTTTTTTTTGGTGATGGAGGAATTCGCAACCGCTATCTTTCGGGTGCGCACTAAGTAAACTTTCGGGTTGATGCAATAGTTTATAAATCACGCCAATCAGGTAAGCCATACTAGACAAGTCTAGTGCGACAGGTTCGATCGAGAAAGTGTTGGTAAGAGGAATCGAACTCGTGACCAAAAGTTTTCGCGCTAGTCTACTCCACTAACTCAATCACCTCATGAGAGGCTATTTTGAGGAATAATATTACTTGTACATAAAGAGGTTATATAATGATTTAGATATAGATAAGATGTTAAAAAGAAAGTAGGAAAGTTGTTTCTTTTTTTTTTCTTTTTAAAATTTGATTGAAAAAATTCTGATACAATTATATCTCATTACATTACTTGTATATAAATTATTAATATACATATAGCACGATCATGTTTTGAAACTCATTATTCCTATTCAAAGTATTTTTTCGTAAACAAGCTCTAGGTTCAATAGAACTGTTAGAGATGAAATAGTATTGTGTCAATTGTATTTAAAAGTGTTTGTAACAAAATTGACAAAATTCGCAAAGTTGGCAGCATATTTTGTGATCCGACTTGTATTTTTGAAAACAAATTTATTCCTAGGTGCTATGAAAATAGAAATTTCACGTAGATTATAAAAGAGTTAGCATTACTTGGTGGCAAGATGACTAGTATATAGGTAAACGACTAATTCTGTTAGCTAGCTCATGAATTCTATTAATCAAGTTATTAAGCCTCTATTTAGTACAGTTAAAAAATTTGATTAAAATTTAAGTTAAAATCAACAATAAATTCTATCCGCACATTTCGAATCCATAACTTTTCAACCAGACATTTCATTAATTTTTATCAAAATCAACTAAAAGTCTTATTTTAATATCTACCGAACACGGGCTAAATACGATAGTTATGATTATCATTAGCTGTGTACAATTGAAATTGTTTGTCTAACGGCCAATTTAGTTTACATCTCGATACAATTATATAATTGAGACTATATCGAAAATTGATTTTTCAATTGAATGAAAATAAATACATAAAAGATAGAATCGTATTGCAATGAAAAAGATTTACGAACAGAATCCTAACTATGAAAACGGCTCCAAATGAATCTTAAAAGTGGAAATTACATAAAAGCCTACCTTTGAAGATCACATTTCATAAATCATAGGCAAAGTTTACTATTTCAAAAACCAGATTTTTTTATTCTTTAAGATAATATTATTATATAAATATATTATTAAATTAAATTAAATTACAAACCCACCATCAATTTCCCAAAACCGCTCTCTCTCTCTTCTCTCTCTCTTTCGCCCTCCCCTAAAAACACCGACCGTAGGTGGAAACTCTGCCTATGGTCGGTGTTGGGCGATTTTTTTTTTTTTTTTTAATCCTATGGTTGGTGTTGGGCGACCGTAGATGAAAACCAATCACCCCCCAAAAAAAGGAAACTGCAGAGCCTTGAATCGGATGAAGTGACTCGTTTCTCCCACAATCGCTGCACGGTTGTGGTGGTGTATGCGGTGGTGGTGCTGTGATGCGGTGGTCAGTGCTGTGATTTATTTATTTTTATTTTTTTTGAATTTCTGGAAGACGATTTTATTGAGTTTTGGGCGTTTTTGTTGGTGATTGATGGTTTTGTGAACGTTGCGGTGGTGGCGATGATTTAGTGGTGGGTTGCGATGGTGTTGTTACAGGTGGTCATGTTGGTGGCACAAGCATTGGGTGACGTTTTGGTGGTGGCATAGGCATTGCGGGGGCGGTAGAAATTCGGTGGTTAGGCGATTTCTTTTATTTTTTATTTTTTTGGTGACGGTATTACTGGTGTTTAGGTGGTGATTTTGGTTTTGCATGGTCTGGTCGTTGTAATGGTGATAGTGACGGCAATTATGGTGGTCATGGCAGTGGTACGATGGTGGTGTTGCGTGGGGGCGACGACGGCGGATTGAGGAGGTGGTGTTGTGACCAATCATTTAGTTATTTGTGATTCCCAATTGTTGTGTTGGTATGTGACGGGCGAAGGTGATGGCGATGAAAATTGTGACTTTGATTGTTGCTCACAGTTGAAATTTGTTTATTGGATAATTTGTGAACAGTGTGGTGGTGGTCACGGTGGTGATAGTGTTGTTGGAATCGGTGGTTACAGATTATTTGGTCAATTGTGACTAGTGAATTGGCTAATCAGTGACCAATAAATAAATTAAATAATGCGTGATCAATGAAAAAGATAAATTGTAACTAAAAAATAATGTGTGACCTAAAAAATTAATAATTGTGATTGTTGTGACCTTTAATATTAGTGATATGTGACCTATAAGTAAATTGTGATTTTCGATCTGTGACCGTTTGAATGGTTGTGACCAATTATCTACGTGATTGCTATTAATAATTGGATATGTGACATGATAATTGTGACTGCGACCTCTGATTGTGACTTACAATTGATTAAGTTGTGATCGAAAAATTGTGATTGTGACTTCCGGTTGTGACTCACTTTTGATTAAATTGTGATTGAAAAAAATAATTATGACCAATTAATTCAATAATTTGCAATGAGTAAATACGTTGTGATCAATAATATTTCTGAATATGTGACCTATAAATTTTGTGAATTTGCAATCAAAAACCATCCCGTGACTTATAAAAATTTTGATTTGTGACCAAGAAATTAGTTGTGATCAATATTTTGATAATTTGTGACTAAAAATTAATTCGTGACTAATTAATTAGATAACTGTGACCAAAAATTATCCAGCGACTTATAAATTTTTTTATTCGTGATTTAAGAATAATATGTGACCTATAAAATTTTCGATCTGTGACCAATAATTTGATTAGTTGTGACTAAAGATTAATCCGTAACTAATTAATTTTTTGATTTGTGACCAATGAACAAACTGTAACCTATAAAATTTTTGAATTGTGATCGTAAAATAATTTTTGACATAAAATTTTTGATTTGTGACAAAAAAATAATAAGTGACTAATTAAATTGTTAAGTTGTGACCAAATTGTATAAATATGTGACATAAATATATTTAATTAATAAATTAATTAAATCATAAATATATTTTAATAAAAATCTGATTTTTGAAGTTTGAAACTTGTTTTCTTAATTTTGAAATATACCATACTTAATCTCTTGTTTATGAAATTTTCCTATCTTAAAAATCGAATTGGTAATGTACGCATTGTTATTTGTTATTGGGTTTTATTGGATACTACTTGCGCCCTTTTCCTAGGCTTAATTGGTCTTAGGCTTGTACACCATATATGTTGGGTCACCGGGTGTCAATTTTGATGGGTGCCACTCTAAGGGAAAAATTCATAAGTAAGAGATTAATTATCACCCACTTCAAAACTAAGAACACGGGTTTTAAATTTTAAAAATTGAATATTTATTAAAATTTATTTATAATTTAATTAATTATATATTTTATTAATTAAATATATTAAGATTACAGATCTATACAATTTGGTCTAGTTAGCACATATTATTTTTCGGTTACAAATTAAAATTTTTATACGTGACAAATTATTTTATAATCACAATTCAAAATTTTATAAGTCACAATTTATTCATCAGTTACAAATCAAAAATTTATAAGTCAAAATTTATTTATCGATTACAAATCACAATTATTATAAGTCACAAATTATCAAATTATCGATCATAAATTAACTTTTTTTTAGATTATATATTCTTTCCTAATCACAATTTATCTTTTTCCATTGGTTACATATTATTTATTGATCACAAATTAATCAATTTAATTGTCACGGTCAAAAAAAGAGTATGAATGTTTTTTTATTTGATTGAAGATATTTTAACACAATCATATCTTATCACATCATTTGTATGTAAATCACTATATACATGCAGCACAATAGTTTTTTGAAACCCATCATTCCTATTCACAGTATTTTTTCGTAAACAAGCACTAGGTTCAACAAAACTATTAGAGACAATAATATTGTGTCAATTGTATTTAAAAGCATTTGTAACAAAATTCACGAAGTTATTGTGTCAATTGTATTTAAAAGCATTTGTAACAAAATTCACGAAGTTGGCAGCATATTTCGTGATCAGACTTGTATTTTTTAAAACAAATTTGTTGTGGAATGGATTTTCAATTTGTGGATTCCGGGCCCATATTAAACTTACCAATCAATATATCAACCAACCAAGCAAAACTTCAAACCCACAACTCAATCCACTTATGGTTGCATTCATCTTTTCTCAACCATAAAGGGACAATAATATGGTAGTGATTGCAAGTCACAAAGGCAAAGAAAAGACAAAAAGAGGCAAGAGCTTGAAGGAGTTTACAAAAACAGCCATGGTCATTTTTTTGGGGGCGGGGGGCGGAATAAGGAGAACCACGGTCTTTCTTCTCACTCAAAGGGCAAATACACGACTTCTTGCAAGAGAGTTGATATATATAGCTTTAGGTATATTATCAATTGTGTTAAGAAACAAAAGGTTGGGCCAAGACACAAATTAATGGGTCGAGACATAAGGAAGCCCTCCTATAAGTGAACTTGGGCAATGCGACATTAAAACCAATTAAGTTGCAATTGCTGGCCGACGTTATGTTTGAGGCGTGTATATGAATTGATTTGTTAATAAATATTTCACTCATTGACCGCGGCCGATAAAATATAACGCGATATTTTTTAATGTCATTGTCCGAAATTTATTGGGTATCAAAAAATCCAACAAAAATTATTCCTAGGTGCTGTGAAAATACAAATTTCACATTGCTTGTTATAAAAGAGTTAGCTTTAGTTGGTGGCTAGATGACTAGTATATAGGTAAACGACTAACTCGGTAAGCTAGGTCATGAACTCTATTAATCAAGTTATTAAGCATCTATTTAGGACAACTAAAAAATTTGATTAAAATTTAAATTAATGTCAACAATGAATTCTATCCACACATTTCGGATCCATAACTTTTCAAGTATAT